CGTATCCGAAAGGCGTATAAACTGACCCCCCTCCCCCTCTCCCAGAGGTCCGTGGACTCCCTACTCCACCCCAATGCCTTGTGGGTCAGGTTCTTTAACCAAAGACTCGAATAGGGTCCCCCAAGAAAACCCTCGACCTCGACCTGGGCAATCGGGTAGTACCACGCCCACAAACTAACCATGGACTTATGAACTTACGCATTCACACATGTCACAGAATCTTACACCCATGCAAAGCTCTCTCTCTTAAAATCTGCACGCAACACTTCCACCCCACCTCACCCCCACACACACAATACCCCCACTTTTTCTACTGTATGTCCCACCTCGAACGGTTCCACTGACTTAGGTTGTAGCTCGCCGCTATCCTCCTTGACATCTGTCTCGGGCCGACCGCCTCATTCCTCCGACCTCACTCTGCGTTCAAACTGGCTTCATTCAACGTAAGAACGCTAATGCGTATACAACAATCAGTAGGTTAGGCTTGTACGCTCAACAGTCTAGAGATTGATGTGTGTTGTCTCTCGGAAGCACGCATCCAGGATCCGAGCTCAGTGATTTGATTAAAGTATCCTTCCAACCCAAAAGAACTGCGCGTCTCCGGGGACCCTATCGCTTCAGCGTCTGGTCAAGCAGGCGTTGGTATTATCTTAAGCGCCAGGGCTGAGGCTGGTCTATTGGATTGGGCCCCGATAGATAGCCGATTAGGTGCAGTGAGACTCAGAGGCTCAAAAAGCAGAAACCAAATGAACGATGCTTATTCGTGATTTCTGCATACGCTCCCACAAACTGTAGCCCGGATACAGTCAAGGACGCCTTCTATCACAACCTACATGAGCTTCTTCTCAAAGCACCTAAGACGGATATCGTGATCCTGGCCGGAGACCTAAATGCACGCGTTGGTCGTCTGTCACCTGATGAGACCTACCTTGATGGCCGTCATGACCTTGATAGCTGTCGTTCAGATAATGGGGATAGACTTCTTAGCATATGCTCAAAACACGGTCTGTTGCTCGTTAGCACGGACTTCAGACGTTCTAAGGGTCACCACGCCACCTGGCGTAACTCCTCCTCGGCACAGACGTGGAGTCAGGTTGACCATATAGCTATTAGCTATAGATGGAGAGGAAGTGTTATAAACTACCGTTCGTATTGGCCTACCTACTTGGACTCCGACCACGCACTGGTTTGTGCCAAGTCATCTATGCGTTTTGGTGGCCGCAAAAAGATGCGATGCAAACAGCTCGACGTCGTCAAGCTCTCTGACCCGGCCGTACTAGCGGATTACCAAAACGAGCTAGCCGCAAGGCTAACTACTACCCCACCAAGTAGCGTAGATCAACACCGGACAAGCATTCAAAACGNGGGGTCTCATCCAACTCTCTCAGACTCCTCGATGCGCGTCGGGCAATCCCGACAGACCGCGAGTACAATGAACAGCGCCTCTCCTTGGAGCGTAAACTCACAAAGAGTTGGAGAGACGACAGAGAGGCCTAGTGGAAGCTACGTGCAAAGGAGATGGAATTAGCAGCTGGGTGTGGAAACACTCGGCAACTATTCCAGTTCATCCGCGCCCAAAAGACAGTGCGTTAGTGAAACAATCTGCGAAGTAGACGGCACGCTAATAAATAGCCTTCACCGACGATTGGAACGCTGGGCGGAGCACTTCACATCGCAGTTCAACCAGCCCCCCTCAATGGCTGTCCCAAGCAGCTCTCTTGAGAGTGCACCCTGGGCACTATCCACGGGACCGCCCACAGAAGCGGAGATCCGAAAGAAACTCCAAGCCCTGAAACGCCACAAGGCAGCTGGATCAGACGGCCTGCCACCTGCCACCTGACTCCTCAGGGAAAAATGATGTTCCCTGAAACTTCTCACTGTCGCTCTCGCGCAAAGCTTTCAGTGTTTTCTCACGAGCAATGGATTGGTGGAACACAAGGAAAGGAAAACAACACTGCATTCTGATTGGACCATAAGCTTTATCGATACTCTTGTATTTCCGAGTCCGGAAAGATCATGACTATTTGCAACCCAATAGATACAGCATGCCTACTTAACGCAAATTTCGGAAGCTCACAAATACACATTCTCACTGTTTGGCAATTGACTTCTACCTGGAAATCGTGGTCCCAAGTCTCGTGGAACAAGATTCAGAGATAGAGTGGCCGATACAACACAAGTCACACGTGAAAAACAGCAAAACCGAATCTCTCACCGACTGTAGTTTTTGAAGTGGACAGAAATTGGTGCATTTCATACAGTTTGTCACGCAAGTCCACATCACCAAACGTGTAGTACGCCATGGATTTGCCAGCTTGACAACAAGCCATCATCTGAAGCAGAGCTGTGGAATGAAAGGAATAAAAAAAGAGACAGTCTGTCAGGGGTTTGGGTATCGCGGTGCACCAAACAGATCACCAACATGTATTCATCGGCATTAAGAGCTTGGGCAGAAACATCAACCGGCGTTACAAGTAAGCAGAACAATGTGCGGATATTTAAGACTTTCTGTTTTTTAGTTGGTCCGAGGTTGGTTTATGCGTATCGTTTTTAGATAGTAAGCAACGGACAATAATTCCAACCATTACCATGGATTGAACCGAACCTACGGTGAAAAGGTAAGTACGTCCGGCTAACTACACCGGCAGACGGTTGCATTCATAACCATCGAAAAACAATTGAGGATGAGATTCAGAAGTAAACGAGCTACTTGCACGCCGTGTGTGATGCCAGCGAAGCGAAGTGTCAGTGGTAAACCGAACTTGTAAACCACTGCGATCAGCATCATTGTACAGCGAAATGCGATTAAGCAAACTTCGCTGATCGGTGCCGTCAGGCCTCTTCTTCATGTACTCACAAAAAAAACCTGAAACTTTCTTTTTACATCTATTATGATATCATCATGTTCAACACTCATCAGTTCCCCGCTTTCCCAGGCACCTATCACATCATGTATTAGGTTAGCACTTAGCCACTACTGTGTCGCTGTCCAGTACCTGCGTGTCACAGCTCTCGCCTACTCTGTATAATTCGTCATAACTTTGGCACTTTGGTCGATTACAGTCGAAACGTCTGTATTCCGTTTCTCTCAGTACAACTCGGCTGAATTCTATCCATTCGAGAGATTACATACATGAATTTGGTGAGTGCGCTCTACGCGCTGTGATGTGTTCTGTTCCCATGGAAACACGGGAGCCGAACCGAGAAACGAAAACCTTACCTTAAGTTCACAAGCCAGAGATCTTGTTGAATTGCAAATGGGAGGAAAGCTGGACCAGCAGAACTTGCGAGAAACCCTTTTCGCAAGAGACCAGAAGTTTCAGGTACTGCAGCCGAATGAAACCAGACAGTTTGACTTGTGGCGCATAACGCATTTGTTGTGGAAAGCGAGCCAGTGATACTGGCTTACACGACGACGATTGTGCTACCATGTGCCGGATGGGAAAAGACGGCAATAGAACAATCGTCCGTAGAGTCATTTCATGTGCCTCATAAGGCAGATAAAATGCATACACATATGCGACGAGCAGCTGGGACTGATAGCGAATTACACCAAGAAACCCATTACATCTTTTTCTGATTACAGGACCGCTTTCCGTTGCGTTCACAACCGACAGGGCGCTGGCGTGACCCCAAGTTCCCCGATGCAAGAAACTATAGACTACTGCTGGCTCCGTCACAAGTCCTGTGACCCTGCCTGACCCAACCAGCGTGGAAGTCATTGTGATTCATGAAATGGATCTATCCTCTGGCGGGGAAGGTCGTGTAGATAAATCACATGATTGCCACAGCTCCAAACATAATGAGGATTCACAGTTAATCTGGCAGAACGCAAAAATAAAAAAGTACACAATCGAACGAGGGAGGGATTGGCGAACACGTAAGAGCACAACTCACCAACATTATACGAACATTCATACATACCTTTCAGATAAACATTGCCCCGAAACGCACCACAGCCCCAATTACCAGTAGCCACGACGGAGGGAAGTTTACGATGAGGCGCCAAATTATCACAGAAACCGCAATATGCCTAAAAATGAAACGCACAACAGACACTCGGAGTTACGGACAAAACAAGAACACTATATGGACAGGGAGTACATTTTAGAGTAGCAAGCTTGGATTAGTCCATTCGTTTTGTTAAGAGACACCAAACACTCTTGATTTACGAGTACGTGTCTTTACTGCAGGTTGCAAACCGATGCAGTGCGTGATCAATGAGCCAGTTTCTGGAACCGAATTCTTTGAGTAAGCGGGAGGCAGCGTAGAAAACGTTTTAGTGGATTCAATAAAGAAGTAAGTCGTGTGTATTTCTCAAATGAACCAGGTAAAAAAAACATTGAAGTCATCAGGGAAAACAATCTTTCGCGGTCACCTGACATCCCAAACTGCATTAATGAATTGCGGCGGGTACCAATTCAAATTCGAACCAGTACAGCCGAACTGATCGCATACTGGTGCAATATACGCAACCTATCAGTTTCAACAGAAAACATCCTGTTGGCACCAAAGCTTTTTCAGTCGGATGTACACTGCTCGTGTCTTGGAAATGCGCGGGATTACTTCCTGATTATCATCATTTGTAATGCGACTATCCAAATAGGAAAACCAATCTAAAATAACCAACTAATTGTTGACCATCAAGCATTAGAGCCGCAGCAGACGACAATCAATCTTA